AGCATTCAGCATTTCACCCTGGCTTCATATGTCTTGGTCACTGATTTTTACCTAAGTGGACAATTGCCTGTCAAGTTTTGTTCCCTTGCTGGCAAAACTGGACAGAGAATGAGTTTGATGGATGGACAGAAGTAGGCTTCAGAAGATGGGTAATAAAGTCCTGCGAGTTAAAGGAGCATGTTCTAACCCAATGCAAGAAAGCTAAGAACATTGATAAAAGGTTAGAGGAATTGCTAACTAGACTAACAAATTTAGAGAAGAACTTAAATGACCTGATGGAGCTGAAAAACGCAGCATGAGAATTTCATGAAGCATACACAATATCAATAGCCAAATCAATCAAGCAGAAGAAAGGATATCAGAGATTAAAGATCGACATAATGAAATAAAATGTGAAGGCAAGATTAGACATAAAAGAATGAAAAAGAATGAACAAAGCCTCCAAGAAATATGGGACTGTGTGAAAAGAGCAAACCTATGTTTGATTGGTGTAACTGAAAGTGATGGGGAGAATAGAACCAAGTTGGAAAACATACTTCAGGATATTATCCAGGAGAACTTCCCCAACATAATTATACAGGCCAACATTCAAATTCAGAAAATACAGAGAACACCACAAAGATACTCCTTGAGAAGAGCAACCCCAAGACATATAATCATCAGATTCACTAAGGTTGAAATGAAGGAAAAAATATTAAGGGCAGCCAGAGAGAAAGGTTGGGTTACCTACAAAGTGAAGCCCATCAGACTAACAGCAGATCACTCTGCAGAAACCCTACAAGTCAGAAGAGAGTGGGGGCCAATATTCAACATTCCTAAAAGAATTTTCAACCCAGAATTTCATATCCAGCCAAACTAAGCTTCATAAGCGAAGGAGAAATAAAGTCCTTTATGACAAAGCAAATACTGAGAGATTTTGTAACCACCAGTCCTGCCTTACAAGAGGTCCTGAAGGAAGCACTAAATATGGAAAGGACAAACCAATACCAGCCAATGCAAAATCAAACCCAAATATAAAGATCATCAACACTAAGAAACAGCATCAAATAATGGACACAATAACCAGCTAGCATCATAATGGCAGGATCAAATTCACACATAACAATATTAACCTTAAATATAAATGTGTTAAATGCCACAATTAAAAGGCACAGACTGGCAAATTGGATAAAGAGTCAAGACCCATCAGTGTGTTGTATTCAAGTGACCCATCTTATGTGTAAAGATGCGTGTAGACTCAAAATAAAGGTATGGAGGAAGATTTACCAAGCAAACGGAAAGCAAAAAAAAGCAGGGGTTGCAATCCTAGTTTCTGATAAAATAGACTTTAAACAACAAAGATAAAGAAAGACAAAGAAGGACATTACATAATGGTCAAGGGATCAATGCAAGAAGAAGAACTAACCTAAATATATGCGTACCCAATACAGGAGCACCCAGATTCATAAAGCAAGTTCTTAGAGGCATACAAAGAGACAGACTCACACACAATTATAATGGGAGACTTTAGTACCCCACTGTCAATATTAGACAGATCAACAAGACAGAAATTAACACCAATATTCAGGACTTGAGCTCAGCTCTGGACTAAGGAGACATAATAGACACCTACAGAATCCCCCACCCAAAATCAATAGAATATACATTCTTCTTAGCACCACATAGCACTTATTAAAAATCAGCTACATAATTGGAAGTAAAGCACTCCTCAGCAAATGCAAAAGAATGGAAATCATAACAGTCTCTCAGACCACAGTGCAATCAAATTAGAACTCAGGATTAAGAAAGTCACTCAAAACCACACAACTACATGGAAACTGAACAATTTGCTCCTGAATGACTACTGGATAAATACCAAAATTAAGACAGAAATAAATAAGTTACTTGAAATCAATGAGAACAAAGACACAATGTACCAGCATTTCTGGGACAGAGCAAGAGCAGCATTTAGAGGGAGATTTATAGCACTAAATGTCCACAGGAGAAAGCAGGAAAGATCTGACATTGAAACCCTAACATCACAATTAAAAGAACTAGAGAAGCAAGAGCAAAAAAACTCAAAAGCTAGCAGAAGCAAGAAATAACTAAGATCAGAGCAGAATTGAATGAGATAGAGACAGAAAAAAACCCTTCAAAAAATCAGCGAATCCAGAAGCTGTTTTTTGGAAAAGATTTACAAAATAGACCATTAGCCAGATGAATAAAGAAGAAAAGATAGAAGAATTAAATGGACACAAGAAAAAATGATAAAGGGGATGATAGGACCACTGATTTCACAGAAATATAAACTACCATCAGAGAATACTATAAACACCTCTAGGCAAGTAAACTAGAAAATCTAAAAGAAATGAACATATTTCTGGTCACATACACCCTCCCAAGACTAAACCAGGAAGAAGTCAAATCTCTGAATAGACCAATAACAAGTTCTGAAATTGACGCAGTAATTAATAGCCTACCAGCCAAAAAAAGCCCAGTACCAGACGGATTCACAGCCAAATTCTACCAGAGGTACAAACAGGAGCTAGTACCATTCATTTTGAGACTGTTCCAAACAATGGAAAAAGAGGGGCTCCTCCTAACTCATTTTATGAGGCTAGCATCATTCTGATAACAAAACCTGGCAGAGACACAACAACAACAACAACAACAACAACAAAAACAAAATTTGAGGCCAATATCCTTGATGAACATTGATGCAAAAATCTTCAATAAAATACTGGCAAACTGAATCCAGCAGCACATTAAAAAGCTTATCCACCATGATCAAGTCGGCTTCATTCTTGGGCTGCAAGGCTGGTTCAACATATGCAAATCAGTAAACATAATCCATCACATAAACAGAACCAATGACAAAAACCACATGATTATCAAAATAGATGTAGGAAAAGTCTTTGATAGAATTCACCCCTTCATGCTAAAAACACTGAGTAAACTAGGTATTGATGTAATATACCTCAAAATAATAAGAGCTATTTATGACAAACCCACAGCAAGTATACTGTATAGGCAAAAGCTGAAAGCATTCTCTTTGAAAACTGGCACAAGAGGATGTGGAAAAGTAAGAATGCTTTTACACTGTTGGTGGGAGTATAAATTAGTTCAACCATTGTGGAAGCCAGTGTGGCAATTCCTCAAGAATCTAGAACTAGAAATACCATTTGACACAGCTATCCTGTTGCTGGATATATACTGAACGGATTATAAATCATTCTATAAAGACACATGCACATGTATGTTTATTGCAGGACTATTCACAATAGCAAAGACTTGGAACCAAGCCAAATGCCCATCAGTGTTAGACTGGATAAAGAAAATGTGGCACATACACACCATGGAATACTATGCAGCCATAAGATAGAATGAATTCATGTCCTTTTCAGGGACATGGATGAAGCCGAAAGCCATCATTCTCAGCAAACTAACACAGGAACAGAAAATCAAATGCTGCATGTTCTCATTCATAAGTAGGAGTTGAACAATGAGAACACATGGACTCAGGGAGGCGAACATCATACACTGGGGCCTGTTGGGGGACGGAAGGTTAGTGGAGGGATAACAGGGGGTTGGGGGATAGGGGAGGGATAGCATTAGGAGAAATACCTAATGTAGATGACAGGTTGATGGGTTCAGCAAACCACCATAGCACATGTATACCTATGTAACAAATGTGCACATTCGGCACATGTACCCCAGAACTTAAAGCATCATAAATAATAAATATTATTAAAATAAATAAATTAATTTTTTAAAAAACTTTCAAGATTAATGAGATTCATTTAGTTGTACCCTGGCTGGGAGAGGGACTTTGGGGCTTACTAGATTAAAACCTCAGGACTTATGAATTATATCAGAGGAGGCTAGTCTTCAGTGCTGATTATAATTTTAATTTACAGCAAAACTTGCTAACTGTTGGAGGACCCAACCCCTTGAAGACTGCTGCAAGGGAGAATATTGTGACATGTCTGCAGAAGGTTCTGCCCAAGGTCCTACATTACTCTGGGAAATGCTTACTTTATTTTATTCTGGTCTTTTCTAGTTACACCTGATCTCGGTAAGGTTTCTTTTTCTTTGCTCTTGGCCAGACTGCCATGCTCTACATCATTAACCCTAAACTCTGGGGAACTGATCCCCTGACAGCATCTTTGATATTAGATTAGATCCCTTCCAGGCTGCATTTAATTGACTGAGTTCCTAGGGGGAATAACTGCTCCTGTTCCCTGTCTCTATTTTACCTGGCCACTTTTCTTCAGTAGCTGGTTTGCAAATTCACTGTGTCTCCATGAAGAAAGAAGTGCGACAGATAAAACACATGCTTATGGTTCTGAATCCCTTTTTTTCATTCTAATAACATCACTACAGTAACACCTGTCAATGAGCTCCTTTGTTCTTTCTGAATCCTCTTCCTCCAAGTAATAATAAAGTGGCCACTTTCCTCTTATGTCCTTCACATTGCACCTTATGTATATTTTTGAAAGTGAAAGACCAAAGAATACTGGTAATTAAAATACCAGTTCTTTTTCCTTGGCTCTAATGTCTTTACTTCTGTTTTTAACTTTTAAATCATTTTCTAAATGATTTTATATTCTGAATATTTTTGTTGATCTTTCTTTTTGTTGCAAAGATTAAAAAAACCACCTTGTTTTCCCCCAGATATAGAAGGTATGCTCAATGTGAAAACTTCAAACATAGAAATATATAATATAGAAAGTGAAAGATAACCATAATAATAATCTTTCTCTTCCCCCTGCAGACAAAACTAATCTTTATTTTTTTGGTGTGTAGTCCTCCTGATTTTTCTATGTATATAATGCCAATTTTTAATGGTAACATTGCTCTTCAACAATTAAAAATAAGCTTGGTGGGTAGTTGTTAAAATTCATTCCTATTCCTTCCCTAAGACATATCCAGAGGCCCTTAAGCAAACATGCGAGTTCACAGTCATTAATTTATAATTGGTTGAAATGTTAAAATCTGATTTGGTCAAGTCACTGAAATACCTCCTTCTAAGTTCCTTCCATTGCCGCAGTGGAGCTCCGAGACGTTGCCTGTGTTCTCTGATGTCACAAGCTGCTAATCCCAGCTTCTTTGTTTCTTGCCTGTGGCCTTAGTTCTTGATGTCTTCTCTTGAAATGATAGCTCAGGGCTAAGATCACACAGACATGTTGAGTTTGGGCTTTGCTATATACTACCTGTGCTGTGTACTACATGTCCTCATCTTCAAAATGGGAAGAATGCTGATTACTGTGGTTGCTAATTCCAGAATTTCCTTTTGTGTCTGAATAATCATAATTAAGTGATTATGAGAGACCCACTTGCAAAGCACTAGTTCCCTTTCTCCTTCAGGAAGATACAGGGCTCTGAGGTATAGGTAAACCAAGCAACTGACAGGTGCACCTTCCAACTCCGTGCAAATTGTGCCTCACCCAGAGCCAAAGTATTTTAGTTCCCATTGGCCCCATGCTCTGTGCTATAAGAACTTTAAAGTTTAATTTTTTTTCTTTAAATTAAATTTAAATTCTTTAAATCTTTAAAGTTTAATTTTTTTCTCCTGATATAAGGAAATGACTTAGTCATACTTCAGGCCAGGGCTTTTAAATATCTTTAAACATTTTCATTTATCATTAAATTGATAAAAGTTGCATATATTTATTGTGTACAAGTTTTGAAATATATAAACATTATAGAATGGCTATTTGTACTCAAGCTAATTAGCATATGTGTTACTTCACATACTGATCACTTTTTTTGTGGTGGGAACACAAAATCTCTCATAGCAGTTTTCAGATTTACAAGAAATATATTGCTATTAACTATAGTCAGAATGTTGTACAATAGATCTGTTGAATTTATTTCTTCCTTCTTACTGAAATTTTCTTTCATTTGACTAACATTTCACCTTCCTATCCCCTAGCCCCCATCTTAGCCTTTGGTAATCACTTTCTACTCTCCGCTTCTATTTGTTTAACTTTTTTCAATTTCATATGTAAGATCAATCATACGGAATTTGTCTTTCTGTGCTTGGATTATTTCACTTAACATAATGTCCTCTAGGTTCATCTATATTGTTGCAAATGACAGGATTTTCTTCTTTATAAAGTCTGAGTAGTATTCCATTGTGTGTATACAATACATTTCCTTTATCCATTCATCCACTGATAGCCAAGATATGGAATCAACCTAAGTGCCTATTGTGAATAATGCTTCAATAAATAGGGAGTGCAAATACCGTGTCAAAATACTGATTTCGTTTCCTTTGGATATATGCCCAGTAGTGGGATAGCTGGGTCACTTAGTGGTTCTATTTTTAGTTTTTTGAGGAACCACCATACCCTTTTCCATAATGGCTGTACTAATTTAGGTTCCCACCAACAGTGCAAAGGTTCTCTTTTCTCCACATCCTAACACTTGTTGTCTTTTGCCTTTTTGTTAATGGCCATTCTACTAGTGTTACATGATATTTCACTGTAGTTTTAATTTGCATTTCTCAGATGATTAATGATGTTGACACCATTTACATGTCTTTTTTTTGGAATTATCTATTGACCCTCTGTTCATTTTTTAGCTGGATTATTTGTTTTCGTATTATGGAGTTGTATGAATTTCTTATGTATTTTTGGTATTAACCCTTTATTAGATACCTTTTTTGCAAATATTTCTCCCCTTCTTTAGGTTGTCTCTTTACTCTGTTGTTTGTTTCCTTGGCTGTGTAAAGGCATTTTAGTTTGATGTAACCCCAAATGTTTATTTTTTTTTGTTTGCACTTTGACATTCATATCCAAAAAAGTATTTGTCCAGATCAATATCATGAGGCTTTTATTCTGTGTCCTTTTTTAGTTGTTTTATAGTTTATTTATTACATTTAAGTCTTTAATCCAATGAAGTTGGTTTTTGTATATAGCATGAGATAAGTCTATATTTCATTTTCCTTGCATGGGAGTATCCAGTTGTTCCAAGACCACTTATTGAAGATACTGCCCTTTCCCAAAGGTCCAGTGTATGTGTCCTTGGCACTTTTGTCAAAAACCAACTGGTCATAAATATATGGATTTGTTTCTGAGCTCTCTGTTCTGTTCCATTGATTGATGCATCTTTTTTATGCCAATACCATGCTGTCTTGATTACTATAGATGTATAGTATATTTTGAACTCATGTAGTGTGATACCTATAGTTTTATTCTTTTTGTTCAAGATTGTTTTGGCTATTTGGGTTTTTTTGCAGTTTCTTACAAAATTCAGAATTTTTTTTTTCTATTTCTGTGAAGAATGTCATTGGAATTTTAACAGGGATTGTTTTGAATCTGTAGATCAGTTTGGGTAATTATGAAATTTTAACAAATAATTATTTCAAACTATGACCATGAAAAATCTTTCCATTTATCTGTATCTTCTCTGATTTATTTCATCAGATTTTAGTGTACAGTTTTCATTGTACAGATCTCTTGCCTCCTTGGTTAAATTTGTTCCTAAGAATTTTTTTATAGCTATTGTAAATGAGGTTGTTTTCTTGATTAATTTTTTTTGGATTGCTTATTACTAGTATATAGAAATGCCTCTGAATTTTGATATTGTTTTTATATCATGAAACTTTGTTGACTTCTTTTATTAGTTCTTACAGTTTTCTTGGTAGAGTATTTAGAGTTTTCTATATATAAGATCATGTTGTCTACAAACAAGGACAATTTAACATCTTTCTTTCCAATTTGGATGTCGTTTATCTCTTTCTCTTGTCTAACAGCTCTGGCTAGGACTTCTAGTACTATGGACATCCTTGTCTTGTTTCTAATCTTAGGGATCTACTACTTTTGATGGTGACTTGGCAAGTATGACAATGAATTAAAAAAGATTTTTGTACCACCCTACCAAACACTGCCAGAGTAATGCTTTCACGTATTAGTTTTGTTAGCTGAATCTCCAAGTAAGATAAACTAGTTGAGCCAATTATAACAGCTTCTATCTTTCCTCTTGGGTCTTAGGATTAAAATAATCCCTTGAAAAATCTTTCCTACCCTTCTTTCTGAAATGTTATCCTTAGAGGAGAGGTGCCAGGGAGAAGCTGGTTTGCTCAGGTGGACAGAAGTTGGGAGAAACCCTTTAAACTCTGAGCTCTAGTTTGGAATCTGGAGATATAAAAGTTTCATTACATCTGTAACTGAACAACTTAGTGGCTTAGCCTTGAACTACATTCTAAAACTGTATTTTTCTTTCCCCTCTCCTTCTCCCCACAGCTCAGGCCCTAGATATAACTTTGAGACAAACTGCATATGTGTTGCCTTTCATCTTGAAATACAGCCTCAGAATGTGCTGTGAACCTCCACTCTCTTCCTTTTCCCATTCTATACTCCCATGCCTTATGCACATTTATTTACCTAGACGCTTGTAAGCACACACCATGCTCACTTATCTGGTCATATTTTTCCTTAGAAGCTTCAGGAGTCAGATCCTGATAGCGACCAGACGCTTCTCTCCAACAAAAGATTACTTCAAGGCTTGAACCCACTCTCAGCTAAACAGTGACTACAAGATTGACTGTATTAATTTATAACCTGGTAGGATCCACAATGGCATCCTCCCCTTCACCACGTGGAACAATAATTCAATATGAGCCATTGGAGCAAGTCATGCCATCTGATACCTCCTAGTCCCCTTGCCTCTTCTGCATTCCAAACCCTTTGTTTAAAAACCCCTATACTCCCTCCAGAAACTTAAGAATGAAACTACTTTTTACTCTTCCCTTTGCTGGCACCAATAATAAAGAAATCTCACTCTTTTTAAAATCACAACTCACTATTATTTTCACTTCTTTCTACAAGCGACCAGCAGCCAGACCCTTTTGCCAGTTACACCTCCACTACATCAAGACAAAACTCCAAGACCCTATTCAAATCTTTTAGCCCCTCCTAGGATGTCCCCATCTAGAAACATTTTCTAGATATTTCTAGAAAAATCATAACATCAGGCCAAAGACAAGCTACACCCATCCCAAAGCATCACAAGGCCAATTCTTGAAACTGATAATGAAAGAATATGAAGTTGAAGGAGACCTGGAGATTGGTGACATTGCTATGTTATCTTTTTTTTGTTTTAATGCACCAAGTAAATGGGATCTCTTTTGTGTCCAGTTTAGAAGCTGCTTAATTTGCTTGAGCCATATGGGTGAGGTAGGAAAAGTTAATGGAAGTGGGAAATAATTGCAGTGAGCCCACTTGATCCATTCTGCAACACCTACAGCACCTGGTACCTGTAAGCATTTGGGAAATGATGGTTCTCTTCATGCTGGATGGTCCTGGCACCTTTCAGGGGTGTCTTGCTGCCTTATTCATGTCTTTTCCTAACCCTCAAATGATTCTTGTCATTCCTCAAAACTAAAGTTATCACTTTGCTGTCATCTCTCTTGTCTTTATCTGTGGTGACCTGGTTATTCCTGAAGCCGATGATGTTGAGTCCCCTGAAGAGAGGAGAAGAGGAATGTTCTGTTCACAAATATTCATAATTTTTAATTAGCCTCCTCAATGGGTACCCTTTATGTTGTAACTTTTTATTTTCTTTTCTGATTTTTTAATTATCCCTAACCTTGAAAAAGTCAGGAAGGATTCTTCTAGGGGCTCTGTTGGAGAGTATCTCAAATAGCATCACCCAATTTCATCTTTAAAATTCATTTTCCATTTACACTAATCAGTCTTGAGATTGAATTAAATTAAATACCTTCAGTCCTTTTCTACTTTTGGATGACTGTGACTTATTCACATATATTTATTTCCTGTCTATTATATGCCAAGCATTCATTTCATATCGAGGAAAAAAAAAACCTTTCCAGTCCTAATGACGTACTTATAATAGTAGGGGAAACAGGGTGATCAGAGGAGGTGATATTTACCACAAACTTGAATGGAATGAAGGGTCACTCCATATGAAAGCCCTATATAAAGCTTCAGGAAGGAAACAAAGAATAAGGCTAAGCCAGGAACGAGCCTACTGTATTCACACCACAGCCTAGGAGGCTAGGGAGGCTGGACTGAGTGAGAGGAGAGCATGGTGCCAGAAGAGTCTGGAGTGGTAGCCACAAAGATTGTACGGGATTCTGTAGGCCATGACCAAGAGTTTGTATCTTAAACCTATTAAGCACCATTCCCACTTATTTAAGAATTTCTATTTCAAAGTTGTCAGCAGAATTTACCTCATTATCTTTTCTCCCTGGAGATCCGTCAGGGTTTCTCATATG